TTCATTCTTTTTTCCAATTTATTGTTATCAACCTTTATTGTTGATTCCAAAACAACAACTACCACCACAACAATAACCGTCACTACAACTTCTTCCATTTGCAAACCTAAACCCACCTCTAATCTTAGTTGCCCTCAAAATGATGATCATTACGGCGATTTTAAAACATATGATCTAAAAAAACGATTTTATAAACCTGTTCCTTGTAAAACTGTTACTTGTACTCTTACAAAAACCGAATGTGTTACTCCTACATGTGATATAACAACTATCACCGAAACAATAACTGTCACTACAACTACTGCTATTTGCTCACCCACACCTACTCCTAATCTTAATTGTCCTCAAAATGATATAAAAAAACGGTCTCATAAAAAACATAAACCTGTTCCTTGTCCAACTGTTAGTTGTACTCTTACACAAACTATATGTGTTACTCCAACGCCTACATGTGTACCCTTGGGCGCACTATGTAATAATAGTCAACCGGATTTATGCTGTGCTGGGGTGTGTTCTGCGTTCCCTCCTAATCACCCTGTTCCTGGAACTCAATGCTGTTATCCTCAAGGTCAACCGAGTTCTATTTTTACACCAGGAGTATGCTGTTCAGGTGGCTGTGGTGGAATCTCGCCTACATGTTTACCTTATCCAGGAACGGTTGATGCATATCACGTAGTATACCAGGGACGAATGCAATGAGTACATAATTATACGCTGTTTTAAGCGATAATTGTCCGCAAAATCCTAAGTCTAATGGTCAGCATGACTTATTCGTCAAATTTTATTTATTTTTCACGCATGTGTTCGTTACACTATTATTTTTCACCTGTAAATTCATCACGCTTTCTCCATATGATAATATGGTATAGATCAACAAATATAAGCGTAAATCGGAATTCTATTTTATAATACAAAGGACTGCAAACATGTGCATTATCAAATTTATAATAACTAACAATATCAAAATTAACAATTTAATACGCAAATATTGATGACCCGATGCAAATTATTTTGTCTATTTACCAGATATTTAGCATTTTTCATTTTTTTGTAGGATTTTTTATTGGTTTGATAAAATGATAATCACTGATCATCAAAGGCGATAGCGAACTGAATTTTCAGTTAACCAGCTAACCAGATAATCAGACAGCCTAATAATTCATTATATGATGCTCTTAAAC